CTTCTGGGGGATCCAACCTGAAGGAAACTCCAGGCCATGGTGTGGCTGGACTGAGGGCCTGGAAGGAGCAGTGAAGGAACAGGAAGAAGGTGAGGGGACTCACTGAGTCTCCATGGTAACCTGACCCCACCCTGCATTCCCTGTGAGATCACTTTGCCTCTATCCCAGCTGGAGGAGGGGAGGAAAGGTCAGTCATGGAGGCTGTCCCTGAAGCCAGACCCAGTCTTTCTGGGGTTCTCCTGCAGGTTGTGAGGCTCTTGGTGTTGGTGAGTGGGGGGGATCATGGGAGAAGCTGTTGCAGCCAGGCCCCCCTGTCCTGATCATTGGGATGAGGTGACTGATTGCCCCCAGACCCCTCTATTAGGTCACTCCTGAGGGTTAAACACTGGCCTTTCCATCCATTTTTTTTTTAAACATGCAAATGCTTGTGGTTAAGGACACATAAGTTAAACCATACCCTTCAGCTGGTTGAGCTGTTAGAACAGGGTCCCCTGGGTCAGCCGCTGCATCATAGAAAGAGGAAGTAGGGTGATGTAGTAGCAAGAGGCAGACACAGTTGGATCTGGCTTGCGACTGTACCATCCTTGAGCTGTGTGAATTTGAGCAAATGACTTCATCTCTGCAAGTCTCTGCTTCCTCTCTTATAAAACCCATCTGGTAGGATCACGTGGCACCTACTAGATCTCTCTCTTCTCTGGTCTCAGCATTGTGCTCTGGGAGACTGGTGTCTACCTCTTTTCTCCATCGTAATCCCTCTCTCAAGGAGCTCTGGTAGCGTAGTGGTTATAAATCGGGCTGTGAACTGCAAGGTCAGCAGTTCGAAACCACCAGCTGTTCCGTGGGAGAAAGATGAGGCTTTCTGCTCCTGTAAAGATTTACAGCCTCAGAAGCCCCCTGCAGGGTTGCTATGGGTCGGAACCAACTCAACAGCACATAACAACAACAAGAATCCCTCTCTGATGTGTAATCCTTGGTCCTCTTCCCTTCCCAGAACAGCTCCACCTCCTGAAGGTATTCTGCTCTGTGGACAGAGTCCACCCACAGTGAGCCTTAGATGGCCGACTCCCACACCCTTCCCTATAGGGGTCAGGACCCAGAATCTAGTGTTGCAGGGAGACGAGGCCCAAACAGAAAGAAATCCCCCGAACACCAGTGTTATCAGAGGAAGAGGCTTTATTGCTGGTAGAGCAGCGGCGGCCTAAATCCCAAAGAATCTGAGTTCCGGGAAATAGCTTTCGTGCTAGCTTTCTATAGGGTCACATAGACCACCTTGCTACTTTCTCATTGGCGCTTCCTAGATGAGTGGCTTTTTACAGAAGAAGCTGTTAGTTTCCTTTGTGTGTGACCTAGGCTTCAAGGTTTTATGGGCAGGGGCCTCCTCCCTCACTAGGATTGCTGTCCCTGAGGACCTGGGACATGTGTATTGGAGACACTCAAGGGCTGGAGGCTTCCGGGTTCTGATAAGGGGCCTTTCAGCTCTAGGATCCCAGTCAGACTTTCTTACATATAGCTTCTTCCCCTCACCCAACCCCCTCTGACTCCTAGTTACCCTACAGCACAGAGTAAACCTACTTCATAGGGTTTCTGAGATTGTATCTTCATGGGAGCAGACAGCCTCAGTTTTCTCCCCTGGAGCAGTTGGTGAATTTGAACTGCTGACCTTGTGGTTAGCAGCCCAATGTTTAATGCACCAGCTCTTCTTGGAGAACGTATGTTGTTATTGTTGTTAATTGCTGTCAAGTCAGTTCCGACCCAGAGCAACTCTGTATAGGTTTCCAACGTTGCAGTTCAAACTGAGACCTTGCAGTCCAGCGCCTTAACCCTCAGTGAAATCCAACAGAAATAAAACTAGACTGAATATAAAACATCTTCTAGAGTTCCCTTTGAGAATGGTGTCCTTGAAAGTAGACAAAGGTCACCCTTGCATGGGGCCTGAGGTGGGAGTAGGGCAGAGGCGAGACAGGATGGGACGCAGACATTGAGAGGAGGAACGTCTTGGTCCAAGGTTCTCTTCCTGTCTCAGGTGGATGGATGTCAGTAGGTGATAATTGTTTTCTTCCTCCTCTGGCAGCTGGTCAAGAATCGCGTCCACATCTATAAGTTCCTGCTCCTCAAGTTCATCTTCTTCAATCACTGGGTGTCTGGACTGGTGCAGGAGGCTCACGGGCCCTCTAGCAGACAGGCCCAGCAACTCCTGAGGGGTGCAGCCTGCCCTGTGATCCAGGTTGTCCGGGCTGGACTGGCTCTGATAGAGATTCCTGTATGGCTGGTGGTCTGGGTGCCCAGGCTGGTGTGGGCCAAAGTGCTGGCCTGTGCCCGGTCCTTGGGCCGGTACCCACGGTGTCTTGATGTCCTGGAGTGGATGCGCCTGTCTGTGGCCACCTGGATAAACCTGCTTTGGTCATGTCTACAAAGCCTGATGCTGGTGATGTTGCTGCTGCTGCTGCTGGTCTGGAGGCTGTGCCGGATGGCCCACCGCCTCAGCCTGGGCCAGCTGCCCCGCAAGGTGGGTGGGCTGGGCTGGAGGAGGGAAGGCCTGGGGCAGTGGGCATGGCCAGGACTGAGCTGGGGGTTGAGCAGTCCAGCAGTGCACATCACACTTGCCCGTTGACCTCCCCACTCCAGGCCCTGCTGGAGTGCCACATGGCGCTGAAGCGAATATGCCAGTGGGCAGAGAACATGGCAACGCTCACCTCCTGGCACCTGGCCTACCTTGTCACCTGGACCACCTGCCTTGCCTCCCTCTTACTGCAGGCTGCTTTTGAGCACACAACCCAGTTGGCTCAGGAGGCTGAACCCCACGAGGCTTCACGTCCCTTGCTTGTACACTCACTCCCAGAGTCTCTGACCCCTGAGGCTGGGCCAGCCCTGTCCGAGCCTGAGGTCCCTAGAGAATAAATGTGCCCTTGCCTGTCTCTCCTGGTCTGGCCTGGCTCCGGCTCTCCCTCTCCCCTCCTAGGCTAGAGGCATGTCACTCACAAGTGTGTGAGTGTGTGTGTGTGTGTGTGTGTGCGTGCGTGTGTGCATGTGTGCAAATGTGTGTCTGTCCTGCCTGCCCCAGGAAGGAAACCACATGCCACGAGTGCCACCTGTTATGTATCAAGCACCATTTCAAGTCACTTTATACCGTTTAGACATCAAGTTTCATTAGCCCCATTTTTCAGGTGAGAAGACTGAGTCTCTGAAGGCTGTGACTGTCCTAAGGTCATGAGTTAGTTGGGGGCAGAGCTGACTTTAAGGATGGAGCCCTAAAGTTTTTACTTCTCAAAACCTGTAACTCTTTCTAGGCCCATATCCCTGGGTCTCAGGAATTTTGGTCCCCAGGGCTTTGGGGGTGCTGGGCAGACTCTGGCCTCTGGGGGGTGCCAGGGCCTCACATTTCGAGACCTAGAAGATAATTGTGAGCAGTAGTTATTCTTGATCCAGTCTGAAGCTAATCTATCCATTTCCTTCTCACATTTAGTTACACATCTTCCCATCCATCCTTAAACCTGTTCACCCACCCACCCAATTCACACACCCAATCTACCAGTTCATCCAAGCATCCACCTATCTACACATCCACCAATCCATTTTACTCTTCCAGGGAGGGGGAACCTTACCCAGTATTTCAGCACTCAGCGCTCACCACCGCACCCCTATTGAAGGAAATGGATGGTGGGCTTTGCAAGTTCAGGTTTAGTGGGTTGGGTCTTCCAGACAGGAACTCAGATGAGAGCTTTTTCTGAGAGAGGAGGAAAGGATGGTTTCTTGGGAGTTAGACATCACCCCTCACCAGCTTCCAAGCCAGAGGATGGTGTGAGTGTGGGGAAGGGGTTCTAGAAAGCTCCACCACTGGTTCTTAGAGAAGTTGGAACTTGATTCTTGTCTGTCTGCCTCCCAGATGGGTCTGCCAATGGCTCATTGTGGACACAAGGGATAAACTCCGAGGCCCTTACCTTGAATCTGAGGGACAGTCTTGGGCTTTCCTTGGGGAAACAACTGAAGGGTTCCTATCTGGTCAAGGAGACAGCACACATGCTGGAGAGGGACCTACCAGCTCTTGGTAAAGGGTCAGCACAACTGGGATTCCAGAGCATGCACACAGCTTGCAGTGAAACTTACAAGGTTCTTCTGCAAAGGCAAAAGTCTGTGAAGTCAGTCCACCATGTGCTGGGGTCTGGAGGAATGGGAGGAGGCCTTGAGCAGGCATGGGGGGCTTCTTGGGAGCTTGGTTGCTTTGCTGGACAAGGATGAGACCTGGGCTCCTGGCGTGAAGAGGGAAGGAAGGAAAAGGAAGGGGCTGCAAAGGCCAGTTGGTGGAGCAAGGGCGTGTGAGATACCTGAGCAGATGAGCAGGAGAGGGGCGGGCCTAGCGGAGACTCAGTGCTGGGCCAGAGGCGAGATTTGGTATTGAAGCTGACCTTGTTTCCCCCTGTTAAGTTAAAAAACAAATACAGAGATGTTAAAGTCCTAGAGGAGCTCTGGTAGCGTAGTGGTTACGAATTGGGCTGCGAACCGCAAGGTCAGCAGTTCAAAACTACCAGCTGCTCCGCGGGAGAAAGAGGCTTTCTGCTCCCGTAAAGATTTACAGCCTCGGAAACCCTGTACAGGGTCACTATGGGTCGGAACCGACTCAACGACTCACTTAACAGCAGTAACAAAGTTCAAAAAAGAACCTCCCGCTTCTCTGGTTCTAAGCTTTGAGAGAGACAGGGTCAACTGTGAGTTACGATCTTTCAATAAATCAATAGATGGCTCTTTGCCTATTTACAAGCCTGCACATGAACACACATGATGTATGTGCAGGTTGTGCTGATGACAGTCTGATCATGCCATACATATTAATGGTGAACTACATTTCTACATCTAACCATATGCAGACACCACCCATGCATTTCCAAGCCAATAGGTATAAACGCTCTTTCTAGTGGCCACAGTGAAACCTTGCAGGTTCGCTTCAATTCCGCCCCGCACCCCCCATTCCACAAAATGTAGCTCTGAAACTCACCACCCAGTGATACCTCATGTGTTATATGACCCTAAAAGCTATACCACCAGAATTTCAAATACCAGCAGTCACCCTTGTTGGACAAGCTTCTGCGGAATTTACAGACTAAATAAGACAGACTAGGAAGAAAAGGTCAATCTACTTGGTGACCCCAGGTCAGATGATGGAAAAACTTGTTGTTTTGGTTCTGACTCATAGTGACCCTGTGTAGGGTTTCCAAGAATGGCTGGTAGGTTTGAACTGCCAACCTGGAGGTTAGCAGTCTGGTGTTTATCTTATAGCACCATACCAGGGATCACTTCTAAGAAGTAGCCAATGAAATCCCTATGGATCATAGCAGACTATGGTCAGACATAAAGTGCTTGGAAGATGAGCCCCATAGGTTGGAAGGTACTACCCAATCACCACAGCAATGAACTCAAACTATCATGAAGATGGCTGGGGACGGGACCACGTCTCATTCTGTTACATAAGGTCACCCTGAATTAGAGGTGACGGTGGTGGTGGTAGAGGTGGTGTGCCATGGAGTCAGTTCTGACTCATAGTGACCCAGAATAGGGTTTCTGAAGCTGTAAGTCTTTACTGGAGCAGAAAGCCTCATCTTTCTCCTGTGGAACCACTGGTGGTTTTGAACTGCTGACCTTGAGGTTAGCAGCCCGACTCGTAACCACTACGCTACCAGAGCTCCTTTGAGGTGATGATATTGTTGTTGTTAAATGCCATTGAGTCAGTTCTGACCCATAGCCACCCTGGACAGGGTTTCCGAGGAGCAGCTGGTGAGCTTGAACCGCCGACCTTGCAGGTCAAATGACTTTGCAGTCTGGCGCATGAACCCATAGCGCCACCCCAGGGCTCCATGATAGCAACTGACAACAAAGCTCTGAAGCGAGGGACAGGGTGGGCTTTGTCATGTTGTTGTAGGATCAGCACTGGACTCCTAACCGCAAACCTGGTAGTTCAAACCTACCAGCCACTCCTTGGCAATGCTATACAGGTTTTCTATGAATCAGAACCAACCCAATGGCACTTAATAACTACATTTGGGGAGGCAGGGGTGTTGAGATGCTGGCTGGGAGGTGGTCCTTGCCTTGGGAGCTTCTCTCTGACCCTCTCCATGCTGTGGTCCCAGGGGACTCCTGGGTCTAAGACTTCACATTGCTGGAGTGAGCCAGGCAGAGAGGACCAGGGATGTAAAGGGCTGGGGACAAAGAGGTCACTGGTCCAGTTAGCCAGAGGGAAAGGGCCTCACCTGGGCGCTGGTCCTGGGGATGAGTGGACGCAGGAGGAGACCAGACCTACCTTGAAAATGCCCATTTCATACCTTGTCCCTGGAGCGTGGCTGTGTAAAGGTCTAGCTCCACTGTTCACATTTGGTTCAGCAGGGGGCGCTCCAGAGTGGCTGTGTTTTGGGCTAGGGGCATACTCCCAAGATACACAGCTGCGGCAGAAGATAGTACCATGTAGCTGCCATGGTTATATAGGGTCAGGATGCACTGGGAGCCATTCCTCAGGGCTAGGGACTGGGAAAACTTCCTGAAGTGGGGCAGGAGGCATTTGAACTGAGCTTGATTGAGTACAGGAATGAACTGAGGTTCTCCCCAGATCTGCCCCTCGCTGTGTGACATTTGTCAAGTTCCTACCCTCTCTGTACCTTAGCCATTATGCTAGACTGTGCCTTGGGCACAGGGAAGGCTTATATGTGGAGATGGCTCTTTTCTGTTTGAGCCAAAACCAGGAGGCGAGACCCTGGTGGGGAGAGGATGCTTGGCTCCCAGGTTCTGCCTCTGCCTCACTGTGGAACCTGGGAGAAGGTGTCGCCCCACTGTGCTTAAGTTTCCATGTCTGTAACACCCCAATGAGAAGGTCAGGGGGATGTCGGCGTCCTAGCCCTACACGCTAGGTCTGGGCAGAAGGGACCAAGGTTGTAAAGGTGATTTTGGGTGGCAGTGGGGGATGATGCTTATACTTTCAGATCATGGAAAGGAGTCCTCCAGACCCGCATCCTGGGGCTGGGGCTGGCGCTGGGGAGGAAGGAAGGACGCTGGGTGAGCTATCCTTGGCTGCCCCTCACTGCAGTGGGGCAGAACACAGACCTGGGGGTGGGAAAGCCTTGGATTTGAGCCCTGGACCACAGCCTCCTGGCAAGTTCCTAAACCCGAGAGCCTCAGTTTCCCTACTGTGATAGGACCCAAACCCCTCACAGGGACTCTCCTGTTCATCAGGGACCCTCAGGAAACCCCAGCTGCCTCTCCTGGGGGGCCTCTCCCTCTTCTCCAGGATTGCAGGGACCCGACTCTCAGGCCCGGAGTGACTGAGGTCAGTCCATCTGTCTCTGCCCTGTGATTATGGAGGGGCTTTGGCCTGCGATAGGAAAACAAGTGGGGGGCCGGGTGGGGGCGCCCAGGCAGGGTGGGGGGAGCTGGTTGAAGGGCTGGCCAGCAGTTCCACGCAATCTGTCTGCTATGCAGTCCCGGCCTGGCCTGTATTTATTTATGCTGAGTGTGTATTTATATCAGCCCCTTTCTCATTAATAGGGCAGGAAATGGCTGGAATTGTTACATACCTGGCGGCCCAGGGAGCCCACTCAGCCAAGACACACAGTGCCCTGAGGGGCCCCCTCCTCAGTCTGCCCAAAGACCCAGGCCGGAGTTCCTGGTCCCTTATTGACCCCCCTTCCACTGAGCTCCCCGACCTCTTTGAGCTGCTGGCTGAACATGAGTCCACAGTCCTAGGAAAGGGGCCACCGCAGGGCTCCCCCTCAATCCCCTACTTCTGACCCCATCCCAATCCCAGCAGACAGTGAGGTGCAGCTTAGATGGGGCGGGGGGGTGGTGGTGTGGTGGTGGGGGGAAGGTCCAGCAGAACCCAGACAGAGGGAGTGTGGGAATAAGGAATGGGGGCCCCCAAG